TCACAAATACATGTGTGTTCCATTTACATTCCATTTCATTCCATTCCATTTATGTATGCTACTTTAAGCAGGAACTTAAAGTAGCAAAATAGTTCTCTCCCCTTTCATTTTCCTTCAGCACAAGAATATTCCTCTGCAGAGAAAGCGACTGGCTTTAACTTGATGGAGAAGCTTCCATGGCTGTGAGCAGCTTTGAACCTGCACCTACTCAATCCTAGTCCGATATCTGATACCACAGAGCAAAGTGTCCAGAGGGACAGAAGGAGGGAAATGACATTTATTAAATATGTTTCCATCATGCTGTAATCAAACAGACTTTCAGCAGATTACAGAAAATCATCCGTTATCATGCAAACTATATAAATTGTCATTTATGCAATATCATGATTCACAGTAAGCCATTGTGGTTTCTACTGGATGCCTACAATTACACGTGTTTGTCATGTGTTTGGCACGTGTTTGGCATGTCTAAGAAAGTAGAATAAACATCCCTAACCTGGGAATTCCTCAACTGCCTGGAAATTCTAGAAAGGCACCACACTAGGGAAGACTCCACTACCACCAGGTGCTAATCAACATGCACACATGGTACATGTTCAAATAATACAGAAATGGGCAAAATGGCCCCAAGGGAAAACTTTTACGAGCAAATCCTAAATGACTAGTGAATTGCCAAATCATATAGAGCATTTTTGGAACAAACCTCTAGGAAAAAAAATAAAGAAAACAACAATACATATCTAAAATGTTTAAGATGTTTAAATATATATATATATTTCCCAAAAAAATACATATCTAAAACGGAAGAGGAAAAATGTCTCAATTTATAAATAGAAGAAATTTGGGTTACCTGACATAATTCTGATCTATGTATGAAAGAGTTGGGATTGGGAGCAATGTAAAATCCACCACATTTACAAAGACTTTAGGAACCTGCAGTGATAGAAGAATAACCAATTGAATTACTTGAATAGTTTCCTATTACAGAAAAGGATTTCTACCAACAATCTTTTCTATAAACTTTTGTAGCCTTGAACCTTTGCTCACTATTTCAGGATGGAAGAGAATGGTAAAAGAAGTTTCACTGAGACAATGGATACTGATTTAGTCTATGAAAGAACTCAATATTTATACAATTTATTTAAATCAGTTAAAAACCTACCAAATAAATTCACCCCAATCCACAGGTTGTTTGGTATTATTCTTGGTTAGGTTTCTGAGCAGGTTGCATACACCCAACCTATTTGATTAGTGTGAGTTTAGTGTATGGTGGACCAAGCGAGTATCTAGGTTAAATATGTCATTTATGTATGGGCATAACTGTACATAACTGAAACTAAGCTTTTTGGATTGTAAAATAATATTAATAGTAATTATCTGTAGGCAAAACTAGATACAACAGAGGTGATGTACAGTATGAGTATAATGAGAAAGGTGTGTGAGATCGAGCTGGAATTTATTAAGGGAAGGTCCTTTGATTGAAAGTTATAGACCATATTCTATTTTGCCAGCCCAAAATAGATAAGTATTTTTCAACTTTTCAATCTAGGGTTGAAAGAAGGAGAATTATTGGCCCAAAATCACCCAGCTGCCTTCCATGCCTATAAGAACTGGGTTTTCATATTCCCTTAACTTCTATATTACACTGGCTGTCACAGATACAGCCATATGCCTATGCTATACATAAGTCTATATGAATAACTTCAGTGTTTCAAAATTATTGAATCTGGGAAAATGTTCATACTTCTCTGTATAAAAAATCCAATACTCTTTCAAGTTTCTTTATGCTGTTGAGGCGGGAAATATCCTGTTCAAAATAAAGCAATTTATATAAGAAAATGGTCAACAACGCATTTTTTTTTCACTTCAAATCAAACATTTCAGAATAATGTCTGCCTCTCGTATCTGTCATTTCACCAGCATGGAAAGGAATCTCAAGTAAATATGTCTTGAAAAGAGTGGGAATTCTCCATCTCTTAATTTAATCAATAAAAAGATGGTTATGGATTAATCATCTCCTTTCCTGCATTAAATAATCTATATTCAATAATTTTAGAATTGAATCCTAATTCCAACTGGGGCAAAAGATTCTGTTAGATTTTTCTTGTGCTAAAATTATCATATTTTGAAAATATTTTTAATCTGTATTTGTGAAGACAAAAACTGTATATCTTTTCCAAGGCTTATGATTGAATTTACATAATGTCCTGTAAAGTCTTACTTGTTAAACTAGGCAGAGGGGCAATCTATTCATGATTTGGCACAATTTTTTAAAAAATTAAAAATGTACTTTAGAGGCCATGACAACAAGGCAATGAGAACATCAGAAGTGGGCCAACATGAATAATGTAAAAGAATTTAGGGCCAAGTAGGCATAAGTTTAAATATATTTTACATATCATTTATACATCATTATTCATTTTTTTGAAATGAAAAAGGCAAAAACCCCAAATATACTGCTGAAAATCATTTGTTGCTGAATTTCAACTGTGACATCAGTGCTACTTATCTGCTACTTTATCTGACTGCAAGAGTAAATAAAATGATTTTTCCATATTAAGTGATTAACTATGGTATTCCTAGAATTTTCTAAAATGTGGGAGATGAGTGTTACTATACACATATTTAAGAATGTTTACTACATTTTGATTTACAGATACTTGATTAAATCTTCAAGAAGAGGAAAATTTACCTCTCAGAAAAATGACTTATTTTTAATAATACAAATTATTATGTGTAATATACCACTAAAGGAAAATTAAAATGTAATTTGGGAAGGAAAATTAGTCTGACAGCATTGCAATACAGCCAAACCCATTTTTACAACCATTGCAATTTTATATGAGCAGTGCAGCATTTATCATTCAGACAAAAGCAGCAAGTTCCTGAAGATGCCACTGCCTAGATCAGGGGTGGGCAAATGTGACTCTTTTACAACCTGTGGACTTCAACTCCCAGAATTCCTGAGACAGCTGTCTCAGGAATTCTGGGAGTTGAAGACTTCAGGTTGTAAAAGAGCCACATTTGCCCACTCCTGCCTAGATGAAAGGCCATTTGTAGGAGTGGTCAAAAAGTCAATATAGCAGCCATGACCATGTAATCAAAACTCCAGCCTTTTTTCAGGCATTGTGGGGCTTTGACCACATAGTCATGACTGCCAACCTGGTTTTTTTTGCCCACTGCAGGATGGCTTATATATTCTAAAGAAAGCTGGCATCATCCAAGAAACATCAAAATCCACCATTTGTTTATTCTTTAATCCAATTTCCTGGTCTATTTTCCAAGTATCATGCCTTTTATTTACCTATAAGTCATAATAAGTCATTCCTCTTATTTACCTGGGAGTCAGAGTTCTGCGAAGAACACAGGTGAAAAACTGTGATTAGCTTCCAGTCATTTTGATAGTCAAACAACTAAAGGGGAAAGAACACAAGCCATCACAAGGAAGCTGAAGAGGTTAAAGGGAACAACTGATACACTTGTCCTCAATATTTCTGAATGGCCAGATCACAATAACCATCCTAAACAGTTTGTTTCATTTTTTAAAATATTTTTAATCCCACTATTATTATTTTTATAAATAAGTGAGTGTGGTGAACATACCTAATACTCTTTCCTCAACCTATTTTTTCCACAACAATAATCCTGTGAGTGAGTTGGGCTAAGTTGGCCGAAAGTCACCTAGTTGGCTTTCATGCCCAAGGTGTTACTAGAACTCAGTCTCCTGGATTCTAGCCTGGTGCCTTAACCACTAAACCAGGTGTATGCCAGCTTTTGGCTTGCTTGGATTACATTGAGTGAAGAGGAATTGTCTTAGGCCGCATAGCTAATTTCCTTTATTTTATTACATTTGTTACAATCTTGTGAGGCCACATTACCAGCTGAACTAAACTAGGATAAAGGTTTCAAGTTATAATAACAAAGACGGGCTGTACTGTGTCCTCTTCACAATTTTACCAAAATCTGTTTGGAGAACCAACACAGAAAAAAATAGATTCATCATAGTATGAACTTTGTAAAGATAGCACCTGTTCCAATGTAAGGAAAAAAACCTCTAATCTGAAACTCTATGGAGATTCTCAGTGATCCAGGTCATGGTTGTCCAAAATGTGCTTTTTCAAGAGGCAACTGGACTTTCTGTTTTTTCTTTGAAGAAGTTTCGCTTCTTACCCAGAGCTGAAGAAGCTTCTTGGATAAGAAGCAAAACGTCTTCAAAGAAAAACCAGAAAGTCCGGTTGCCTCTTGAAAAAGCACCTTTTGGACTCTAATCTGAAAGTTCCAGTCATGAAAAAAGTTGAATGATGCCCCAATAAGAGGGGAGTACCTAGAGTGGGGTTTCTCATAAAAAATACTTCTATGATATGAATGGCTTCCACCAAGCTAGGGGTCTTCAGAATTCCCCGTCATCTGAGAACTGGATATTAATACATCTAATACTTTTTTTAAAATCCATTTTTATCCTAGTACATTTTAGGTAGTCTTTTGGCTTGCTTGATAATTGACAAATAAAGCTGGCCTTTAAAAAATCAAAACAATTTTCAGAATTAAAAAGGAAAATATGAATGTGTCTCATAGGACCAAGGATTAAATGCTGCTATTTTGTATAAATCTATTAATTTTTAAGGTTTGACCATCACAATATTATAAGCAAGACAAAGGAAAAGACAACAGGATATTATTATAAACTTAACTGGTGGTCTTCAATGTCTTTGTGTCTTTAGCATTTTGGTGTCCTAACTCAAACTTAAAATGTCAGTGTCTCCATCCAGAGAATCCAAAGCAGAACTACAATTAGTTAGGGTTGATCCTATCACACAAGTATGACATGAAAAATCAACAAATGTTGGTAGAACCATTGCCTGAATGCACAGGAAAGATGTCAGCTTTTATAGATGTATATGCTGCAAGGATGAAAATGCTTTTGGCCAGCATTGAATATTCAAGAGATTATAAATATAAGTAGATTGCACTATAACATGTTACAATATACATACCTGGATCTCTCTCATGCTCTCCACAAGTTCTTTTGCTTGATCCAAAAGATTACTGTGTCACAAATCAAAGAGAGAAATGGCTAAGCAGGTAAATATTCTTTTTTTGGAGCTAGAAGATTAATTTTAATCTACAGAATCCAGGCTATTCCGAAGTACAAAATGGCCCTTTCTTAAGTGACGTTTTCAGAAGCCAAGAGAAGAGAGAATGAGTAGGGTGTGCAGTATTTAGAAAGTCTAAAGGACGTTACTAAAGGGGATGGTGAGATATTTGTAGTTTAAGACTTGTGAGACTGATGTAAGCCTTCCCAGGTAGAGCAGATAGGAAATATGACCAGATGAGATGATTCCACTTTATTGTAATGCCACCTTAACAGAATCTACAAAAATACAAATATCCCACCATTTCCTTTACAGACTGAGAACTAAAGAGGGATACTTTATGAATCTCTTTCTCTACCTATTATGCAGCTGTGATTTCCCTTCCCACATTCCCAAGGTCATTCCTACATAACATTACAGGTAGTCCTCAGTTTATGATCACAACTGGGATTGGAATTTGGGTTGTAAATTGTGACAGTTACAAATTGAGGCAGCCACCTTATCTGACCTAATTTTACAAGTTTTTTTACGGCAATCATTAAGCAAATCACACAGCTGTAAGTATGAATCCATTCTCCTGAATATTTTTTGTTTGACAAATCACAAATTATGGTCACATGACTGTGGGCAACCAGCCAAAAATGTAAGCCCATTGCCAAGCTTCTGAAAAGCAGTAATTGGATAGGAGGGACCAACAGCATGATATTTTACAACAGTCAGAAGTGCTTTAAAGCATCTTTTCCTAGACCAGGGGTCTCCAACCTTGGCAACTTTAAGCCTGGAGGACTTCAACTCCCAGAATTCCCCAGCCAGCTTTGCTTTGCTGTCTGGAGAATTCTGGGAGTTGAAGTCCGCCAGGCTTAAAGTTGCCAAGGTTGGAGACCCCTGGCCTAGGCAGTTGTAACTCCAAACGGTTGCTAAATGACTAGTTGTAAATCAAGGGCTTTCTGTACAATTTCCTTTTTATTAACAGTCCTAATTATGAAAATAATAATAATTAACAGTTAACATCTTAGCATTTTAATGATTTTAACCACTTCTTTGCTTTTCCTGGTTTTCCTGTTCAATTAGTTTCCCTGTGATTATTTTTTAATATAGAATGCTTCTGATAATATTCCAAAAGAAAAGCTAGCAAAAACATTTCAGAGAAATGCAGCAATTAAATAAATAGGTAATTACTCCAATTTCAAAAACATGCCCTTTATTTCTTGCATAATTTTCATCTATAGCATCATTCATCAATGCAACAATGAGACCCAGGTGAACAAGAAGCAACCCAGTACATAAAAAATGAACTTACATAGTTCCATTTCTTGATAAAATCTCACTGTTTCCCAAGGGAGAGTAATATTGCACAGAAGGATTATACTTCCTAATAAGAGCTGAAAGACATAAACTTGGTTCAGTTAATTCATAGGCTCTGGAACTGCTTGTGCACACATGACAATGAAACTACTAGGCAACAAATTAGGGAATTGTTTTTTTTTTTTAAAAAGGACACAGAAGGAAGACTAGAATGGGAAATTCATCATGGCTAGTTATAATCTAGTGATAATTTTGGTCACCACGATGTAACAAAGATGTAGAGACTCTAGAAAGAGTGCAGAGAAGAGCAACCAAGAAAATTCCTACAAATGCTTAGATTCCTAAAATATATCAAAGGAAGCCATCTTATATTCCTTAGATGATTAGGGGACTGGAGGCTAAAACATGAGGAACGGTTGCAGGAACTGGGTATGTCTAGTTTAATGAAAAGAAGGACCAGGGGAGACATGATAGCAGTGTTCCAATATCTCAGGGGCTGCCACAAGGAAGAGGGAGTCAAGCTATTCTCCAAAGCACCTGAGGATATGACAAGAAGCAATGGGTGGAAAGTAATCAAGGAGAGAAACAACCTAGAACTAAGGAGAAATTTCCTGACAGTTAGAACAATTAATCAGTAGAACAACTTGCCTCCAGAAGTTGTGAATACTCCAACACTGGAAGTTTTTAAGAAGAGGTTGGATAACCATTTGTCTGAAGTGGTGTAGGGTTTCCTGCCTAAGCAGGGGGTTGGACTAGAAGACCTCCAAGGTCCCGTCCAACTCTGTTTATAGTATAGTATAGTGTAGTGTAGTGTAGTGTAGTATAGTGTAGCATAGCGTAGAGTAGGGTAACATAGCATAACGTAGCATAGCACAGTAATTGTAAGATAATGAAGGAACATTTCCTTTGAGTTGAATTTGAACCCTGAAGACTTCATGGCCAATACCTTGTAATTTTCCATGAAACTATTCTGGAAATAGTTTGTCATCCTTTCGTTCTTAGTCTGCAACCGTTTAATTTTCAAATAACCTCTCATTTTAGTATTAACCAAATTTAACTAAGCATAGTTTTTTGACATTGGCTAACACCGAGATTTATATTATTTAATGATGCTAAAAGAAAAAGATTGCACAATAGACAAAATAAGTATAATTGGTTCATATTCACAGTGCTAATTATTGATTCTTCATCATATTAAAGTAAAGCAGATGAAATTTAGCTGTATCTTGGGCACAATTTTTCAGTAGGAGGAGTTGTTGGAAATTGAGTTCACAACTAAAGGACCAAAGTTTTCCTACAAGAAATGGTGGCTCAGTGGCTAAGACGTGTTGATCAGAAAGGTGGGCAGTTCAGTGGTTCGAATCCCTAGTATAGGATTCCTGCGTGAACAGGGGGTTGGACTAGATGACCTCCAAGGTCCCTTCCAACTCTGTTACTGTTACCTGACAAACAACACAAAATTGGGGGATGGAGTGGTAGTGTGTGATTCATCAGTACTTCCAAGGAGATAAATGAAAATGTTGATGAATTTGACAGAAGGTAAAAGTGAGCAAAAATTAATAAAATAAAAACAATTATGAGGGAAAATTAAAAGGTACAGACAAGAAGATTTAATGGCGGATAATGTCAGGTGTGAAAGATCAGGTTATATTTGAAGGTCCAATTAAACTGATTTATTGCTTATCATATTTATGCATCAGAACCTTCTCAACTAACAGGTCATACTTGCTTGGGTTTAAATAAGGGTCAATGGAATTCAAGGGAGGTTGGACTTAGTTTGCTTGTGACTATGAAAGGATTCTAGGCTGACCCCTCTTTTAACTTTGGCCTCAGGTTCTGCCACTCTTCCTACAGACATGATGGCATGCTTCTTATACCTCTTCAAATGTCACTTAAAAATAAACAAAGACTTGTTTTCCATGACCCCTGATATCAGGACTGGATCAAATGGGCTTGAACCAGGGGTGAAATGCTCCCGTTTCGGACCAGATCGCCTGATCCGGTAGCAATGGAGGCGGGTGGTTCGGAGAACCGGTAGCAAAAATCCCTGCCCCCCCCATGCCCAGCTGAGCTGCACAATCATCAGAGGCTTTTTTTTTTACTTTTAAAAGCATTTTTTCTACAACCTCTTCGGCGGAAAAAATGATTTTAAAAGTTAAAAAAAAGCCTCTGATGATCATGCGGCTCAGCTGGGATCGTCAGAGGCATTTAAAAGAAAAAAACCCTATTTTTCTTTTAAATGCCTCTGATGATCCAAGCTGAGTTTTTTTAAAAGCCTCTGCCGATCAGGCAACTCAGCTTGGATCGTCAGAGGCATTTAAAAGCATTTTTTTACAACCTCTTCGCCAAAGAGGTTGTAGAAAAAATGGTTTTAAAAGTAAAAAAAAAAGGCCACACCCACCCAGTCACATTACCCCCACCACCAAGCCACGCCCACAGAACCAGTAGTAACAAATTTTTGATTTCATCACTGGCTTGAACGTAGAAAGTACACTTCAGCAAAACTATTTCTCTAGGGAGACTATGACTCTTCCATACTGAAGGTCTGGAAACAAAGACTAGAGAGATATTTGTTTGAAGTGCTCAACCTCAGGCTCTCAGCCTTTTCCATTATATAATCTATTCATTGTCATCAAAAGCTTCTATAAACCACCACATAAATAATGATAAACATTTAAGGTTTCATATCCATTGATCTCTGTTTTGATCCCCACCCTTTAACCACACATGTGCAATTGATTTACCTCTATTTAAATTCACAGAATACCACACAACGAATTACACCATAATTAATCTAACTCTGAGAATAATGTAAAAGTAATGCATGGGATTACTTTTGGTAATCCTGTGTATTAGTTATGATATAAAATGGCATATTATTATTGCATTGTTATTTTGCTTCCCACAGACCATCTTCAATATGCTCATGGATTATAGTTGAATTATTGATCTTGTTCTAAATTTTCTGCATACAATAAAGGAATGGGTTAGATTATCTACAAGACTGGCATCAGCTTTAACTATCTAACACCATGAGGCTAAACAAGATCAAGGCTAAACAAGGAGGGAAAACCATTTCTTCTTTGAGGGTAAACAATGAGAAACATTTCCCTTCTTAAAAATTTCTAATCATTGAGAAACAAAATAATTCTGCCAAGAATTTGAGACATACCTGTAAGTATTCTCATGCTTCCCTGAATAAAGTCTTGTTCTGAGCTAAAAATAGAAATATCAATTAATTATTCCTTCATATAGAATAATGGATCCCAGGGTATATTAGCTTTGTATTGGGCCTTGTCTTTTTCCCTCCCCTCCATTTAATGTCTATGTTATCTATATTGTGGGGTGTTTAGGAAAGAATCATATTTCCTAAAAGGGTTATTTTTGAGTCCGGCAATCATCTACTCTTCTTATCACTATTAAAATCTTAATTGCTATTATTCAATGTAGAAATGGAGGACAAATTAAATGTTACATAAAATATGTCAGATAACCCTAACCTTTTGATCATCCAATGTGCTCTCAGTATGAGAAAATGTAACTTCCAATGAAGGGTCAAAGAAATTCTCACTGACGTGCTTCAAATTTCAGCACACATGCTCTCTTGGGACATCATCAATTTTGCAGAGTTATCAAAGGAGTAAAAGAGTATCAACAAAGCAAAGTTGGTTTTGAAACAGGAACATTCAAAAGAATCATCCAAAATTGTGTCCAAGTTTCAAAGCTCTGTGTCAAGGTCGTCAGCCAGTCCAAGGGTCGGAAGTTCAAGAACAGAATTCACACACAAGCCAGAAGTCAGACATTGCTTCCAGCAAACAGAAGAGAGGCAGAGCAGATTCTTATATAAGCTGCAGCCAGCTATCACGAAGGTCTACTTCTTTGTTTGGTGAGAAGAACCCTAATAGACCTTGGGTGCTCTGCTCTCCTCTCAAAATATCAGGTATATCAGTTGGGAGGTCTCATATCACTTCACATGACTCTTCCAGCTGCTCAGGTATTGCCTGTGTTTGATCAGCCTCATGTGATTCTTTCTGAGGCTAACATACCACACGTTCAGTTGGAACTCAAGAATCTGAATCCTGAACCTGGGCCATGACACTTCTTTTCCTACTAGTTAATCCACTTAGGACTGGTGGTAATTTTTTTTAAAACAAACAAACAAACAACCCATTGTCAGAAATAAATCCAGTATGCCAATGTATCCAATATATCCATTAGTATCCCTGTTGAGTATTGGGACAGAAATGAAGGAAATATGATCCTAATATTATGGTATATATTTGACTATTTAGATATCCTCTATTGGAACAGTTCACCAGCTGGACTGGTCATATATTTGCTCCATTTACTGGGTCTGCCGAAAGTGTTGATGGTTCCTTCTGTTGTAATATTGTGTTCCTTCTATTTATACTGATTCCTGCCTCAGGCAGTTTTTTCTGTTATTATTAAAGGAAAGATCTGAAACTCTGCAGAGCACATGAATGGAAAATAACATGTCTTCAGAACCTAATAAAAGGTACTACCTTTGGAAGAGACCTCCTTCCTCCTTTCCAGAATCTCCCACCTGGAAATAAAGACAAAAAGGAAGATGACAACATATTTTTTAACTATTACCAGGAAAGAAAGGGTGAGGAAAAGGAGAGAGACCTGGGTCCCTAGGTCTACAGTTGAAGGAGAATTCAATGATGGTAATGAATTCTGTTCCTGATCCACTACTTTGATCTGTAACCCCAAGAACAGAAATGAAGAACAAAAAGCAGGCAGAAGAAATGCAAAGAGAATGCCCATTTGCATCAGAAAAACTGCTGAGATGAAGGAACAAAAGTTGGTCCCTACTTTTTTTTAAAAAAAAAAATGCCTAATGAAAAGACTTTGTAAATTGAATAGGAAAATTAAAGCAGAATACATACTAGATGGTGGAGTTAAGATTTTCTGCCACTTTAGTATATGACAATATTAAAAGTAGAAAATGTATGAAGAAAGGAAAGTATGGGAGAAAGGCAGAGTTTTATAAATCTATTTAGATGTACGGAGCTTGAGATGTCAGTAATTCACTCAAGAAAAAATATCAGATTGATAGGTAGGGAAAAGTTAGGAATGTTGCAGATCAAGTAGTTGGTAAGAGCAACTCATAAGTTGGCAACTTTGCTTTGATACAATTGACTAACAGTTTTTCTATCTGATTAAAGACTACTGTACGTCTGCATAATGCCACAATCCCTTTTCAAGAGAATTCACTGCTATACTCACATTTCCCAAACTTCCTATAGCAACAGCTACTTGAATGTCTGATGGTCGCAGTGTGTGAACTAAAGAAATAAAGCATAGGCTATCAGTTAACCAAATACGATAATAGTTTTCCTTATTTCCTTATTTATTTAAATTAAAATAAAGGCAAATCCAAAACATTACAATTACTTTTACACATGCATATTGCTTTATTCTAAAAGTAGATATATGTATATGTTGTGTTTGTGCACTCCTATACACAGGCACTTAAATGCTATGTGCAAAGCAGATAACATTTGATTGAAATAATTCTAAATAATAAGGATGAAATATTATATCCTAACTAATACAACAAAATATAATTAAGGAATAACAATCCATTATTTCACTCATTTTCATTTGATCTGAATTGTATTTTTTCCCTGGTGATTTATCTAGGACTTGGATGGCATAAGTAAACCTGACTCCCACATTCTTATGCTCAATAAGGTATCTTTTACTTTGAATATGCTCCTTGGGACAAATACCTGAAGATGAAGTTTGATGAGAACTTTGTAACTTGTAGTTCCTTAGAGGCTGTAGGAAAAACAATATGATCGAAAAGACGCTCAGTATGCTATAACGAACAATCAGATCCACAACACTAAAATAAGAAAGCTCATCGTCTCTTCCAGGAAATATTTTTTATAGATCACATCACTTAAAACATTAAAAGACTGTTTCTGCAAGGACATGTCAGTACAGTGGCTGTCTACATTCTTTATTAAATATAGCAATAGCACTTAAGACTTCTGTACCACTTCATAGTGCTTTATAGCACTCTCTAAGCGGTTTGCAAATTTACAATCTGGATCCTCATTTTACCAACCTTGGAAGGCTGGAAGGTTGAGTCAGCCTTGAGCCAGTCAGGATCGAGTTACTTGCAGTGGGCAGAGTTAGCCTGCAATATTGCACTTTGCCTGATAGCACAGTGTTCATCATCAATATCCTGATACTTTCCAAATAATTTCATTGCTTTTAGTTTAATGTTTCATTGTTTACTTTACAAGGGATTTTTTGGGCTTTTACTTTCTAATCCATATTTTGTTTATGCTAATGTGTTCTGGTATCAGACAGCATGTAGTAATCTTAACCACCCTTTAGAAGAGTTTGGAGACTCCTTCGGGAAAAAAGAAAATCTGAAGTCTTAAAATCAGAATCCATAGTTCCCTAATCAATGTGGGGACCCCTGTTAAGTATTCAAGAACAGCTGCAGCATGGAGTTGATATTCTAAGCACAGTGAAAACTCTGATTCTCTTCACCAATCAAGATCTTGCATTGGAGCCTAGATAGGTAAGGTCCACCTAAACCATTTTGAAATCTGAGATGAGAAAGACAATTGTGGCTCTCTTGATTTCATATACTAAGCTAGCTGGACTAGCAACTGTATCTGTCTTTAACACAGAGAGCTGGCTACTATCTTCCATCGTTGCTGAACTACCAATAGCAAACTACAGTATTTTTCGGAGTATAAAACGCACCTTTTCCCCCCAAAAAAGAGGATGAAAATCTGGGTGCGTTTTATACTCTGAATGTAGCCCCACCCAGCTTCTCAAACGGAGGTTTCAGAGGCTGAAAAAAGCATCAGAAACGAAGCTTCAGAAAAGAAGCCCCCAAACAGAGCTTCAGAGGCTTTTTTTCTGAAGCTCTGTTTAGGAGGCTTTCAGAGGCAGGAAAAAACATTTTTTCTGAAACAGTTTCAGAAGTTTCAGAGGCAGAAAAAAACGTTTTAAAAAAGCAAGGCACAGAGCTCACAACCATGGAACCTGTTGCTAAAATTCACCTCTGGGAACAGCTGATTGGGGGTATTCCGGGAGCCTGATCCACCTGCCAATCAGCTTTTTTCTTATTTTCCTCCCCAAAAACTAAGGTGTGTCTTATACTCCGATGCATCTTATACTCTGAAAAATATGGTAATTTTTGCCTCAGACATGTTGGCTGTGTACTTAATTAAACAAAGCAGGGCAACCAGAACATTCAGAATCAAATATGAATAACATCCCTCCCCATTGCCTCCCATTACTTTTTTATTTACTGATTACATAATTTTTATTTAATCATTACATGTAATGATTTTATTTATATCATTACATAATGATGTACCAGCTTTGAGTGGAGAAACTATGGTATATGTACCTGACTTACAAGCCTAAACTAGGTTGTTCTGCTTAATTAGCAGAGGCTAATAAATAGAAATTAAATTTATCTGCTGGGCAAGTCAGATTCAATAACTGGAAAGCTAGAGGCCTGAGTACACTGTCTTTTCTAGCTTTCTATGCCTGTGCTCAAAAATAGCCACATCTGAATGACGGATCATGTTTGAGAGGTCCTTTTTCCACATCCTTTTTCATCTTGCAATTGTTCAGAAACATTGACTTACGTCCAGTTCAATTTCTTCTTTCATTTTATCCTTGGTTGTCAGAATATCAGCTGCAGTCCCTTTAAGAAAAAATGTGTTTGTTTGTTTAATTTATTTCCTTGTTCCACCGACTTTCTTTTGATTCATACTGATTAAGTCATATGATTGCTTTGTGTTTGTTAATGTTTCTGCACAAATAATAGCACAGGTTTCAACAGATACACTTGCTAATGACTAGATTGTGGATTCTTAAAAATACTTCCAATAACAGCATTTAATTAAAATATCAAACAGTTACATAAAAAGTATCAGTGGAACTGGCATTTAATCTTGTTGCTCTTTCTCATAGGGGAGGGCACAACTGCACAGGATGTGTAAAAATAGAGATCGCCTACAACAAAAATGTTGAAATTCAATTATTATGAACTTCTCTCAAACTCTTAATTACAGAACTATATACAGCTATTACTAGGACTGGGATCTGCCAGTCTTAGTATTTATCCAGTACAATTAAAAAAAAAACTTTGAAGAGAAACATCAGTTTTAATGTTAAGTACACAGATGCAGCATTTGGTAGTACGGGAACTCAA